ATCAAGACAGCGAGACGCATTACGCGGCGAAAACATATAAATATACAACATGTTTTGAGTAGTGTAATGCTGTAAAAGCCGTACTGACTGAAACAAAAATAATCAAGGAATCACGTTTCATAAGTCAATTAATAATTCAATCACTTATTTAAAGATTTTATACATTAAAATTAATCAGCATTCGCTGGAACAAAAGAATTCATTATAAGCCCAGTGTTGCCATTTTCACGTGTACAAATTACCCGAAACATAGGAATTTTTTGTGGTTTGTTATTGAAATCATTTTAGTAAGGTTATTTATGTAATAGTTACTACTAGGTATACTATTTCATATTCTTTTACTAAATTTTCTAAGGAAACTGGAGTGTGGAAAAATGATTTAATTCAAATAAATAGAAATTGTAATGATGAAAATAAAGACAACATAAATATATTCTCACAAAGTTCTAGAAAGTTTTGTTGACAATGAAAGCATTTTTTAAACTTAGAAGCTGAACATACTTCGTCGGAATAGAGTACAAAATAAGTCTTATTAAATATGTAGATTTTTTAAAACGATTCTGTTTCACGACATCGCAAAATTAGAGGAAATTTCAAGAACCTCTCAAAGTATTTTAAAAACATTATTTAAAAAAAAAGATAGCATTTAGGAAATTAAACAGTAAAATTTCGAAAAAATAATTTTTTTATTTTATTGTCTGTGTTTGTAGGCCATAAATTTAGGGTAACTTGGCAGCCCCAAAATTCATTCACATACACAGAGCTACTGCCATTACGGTGCCTCAGTTTTGTGTTAGCGAGAGTTCCGTCCGACTTTTTTTATATGTCCATGAGTTAGACCTATAATAATAGTCTTAAGAGGCAAAGAAAGAACAGTCTTTAACTGTTCTGTGTTTGTCAGTCAGTCAGTCAGTCAGTCTTCAACTGCAACAGTCGCAACAGTAGACGTGGAGTGGTCCGACTTTTAGTTCAAGCATTAAACTAGTGCGTAACACGGACGATTTAGACTTTAGACGACATTACTTATCTATAAAAAACGGATTGGTATTAGGCAGTTACTAACTCCGCTCTTTAGGTGGAACAGGAACGCGCGAACGCGAGATGATCACGCGACGCTCGATCGCGTGACTTGCGTGTATTCGCCTGCAGTGTCTGTTCGAGCAATTATTCGAGCATAGATTCGCGTTGTGTATTGCGCGCAAAACGCGAACATAGTGATTTTGAGCTCTAATTCAGTGAAATGTCTTTACACAGTATAAAATGAAGCCCCTTTTTTTTCTTGTACGCTTAGATTGTTAAATTTTAATAGGGTTTTTATAATAGAGAGACCAGAGAGATTCAAGAGGCGTTTTTAAATGAATAATACATGCATATTATAGTAGAACAAATACAAGATTTTAAGGATTTGTAATGTGAAGTCGTAAAAAACGGAATCGAATCTTTTTTAAAGATCTACAAATAAGTCTGCGGTGGTAGATATCTATATCCTAAAGATACCCACAGTAACCATTTTTATTTTTTACATAAAATAAGGGTAATTTACGAAGCTATTTTAAACAATACAGTATTATTCCTTATCGAAATGAATACGTCAGAAATGTTTTGGGTTTAACGTAGATCAAAATTGCCTGTTACACCATATTATTAAAATGAATATCTTAATAAATATCAGAGATTTAAAATGCGGATGGACCTACGGCCGTCCTGGGTGGCAGCGACCGGCAGGAGCTTAAGGGGTCTATAAATATTGCATTTAAAGATGTCCTGTAGTATAGTCTTATCATATTAATAGTATAATTAATTACTCCACACTGACACCTCACTAGTAGTATTAGTAGTAGGTATCTACATTGAATTCGTGCAAAGCCGTCGGATCGCTAGTATAATATTTTTTATATTTTTTACACATTCCCAAACTAGTCAGAGCCTGTAATATGGTAACCAGACTGCTGAGAAACATACATCCATATTTCTAAATGCATATATATTATATGCAGATAAAGTACCTACACCCCGACACAGAACAAATGACCGTGCTCATCACACAATTATTTGTAATGGGGTGGGAATCGAACCCACGACCTCTGGCATAGCAGTCAGGGTTACTAACCACTAGACCAACAGGCCAGTCAAAAGTAAAGTGTTTATGGGTTATATTTTATTCACATTTAAAAATGGTTGCGAGATTTGTCGCTCCGCTTTATTTGACTGGCTTTTTTTATGGTACAAGGGGGCAAACGAGCAGATGGGTCACCTGATGGTAAGCAACTACCGCCGCCCATGGACACCTGCAACTCAAGAGTCACAAGTGCTTTACTGCCCTTGGAGTTCCTCCCGTTCGAGCCACCGGGAGGAGGGATTTGGGCTTCGGTAACTTCACTCACTCAGTGAAAAGCAACGAAAGAATTGCTTAACACCGGTTTTCTGTAAGACCGTGGTATCACTCCGGTCGAGCTGACTCATTCGTGCCGAAGCATGGCTGTCCCACTGGCTAACCTAACTTTTTTTATTTCCTTGGGAAATCCCCTCGGACCGTCACCCCGCCGGGCACTCGTTCGGCGGGGCGGTGTGTCGGACTCGAACCGACTAAAACCACACGGTGTGCCCTCTTTGCGCTTCCAGTTTTGGAGGGGTCCAGGTAGTTATCCCCTTCTGGACCCCAGCGCCGGCCCGCTCCTGGCGCGGGCTCCGTCTCAAGGACCTCTCTTTAGGCGTCGTCCGGCACACGCGGACGCAGCCCCCTAGCGGCTGGCCAATTTAATGCGGGTAGAGGGGGGAAACCATCCCGTCCACCCGCGGCCACACTCAGGGCGGCATGAGGCGCAGGTGAGCGCGCCTCCGCCGCCCGGTTCGCCGGCGGCGGATCGGGTCCAACCTTCTGCGAGATTACCTCCTCGCAGAAGGTTGCGACCGCGGTAAAACAGCTATCGCTACCGGCCATGGAGCGAACTACGGCCGGTAGCGAGAGATCCGCTCCGATAACTGCAGTGAGGGCCCGGCGCTGCGTCGCCCATGCGGGGCAGACCGCCAGCGTGTGCTGGGCCGAGTCCTCACGTGGACCACGACGGGGCCCATGAAATAATAGGGCCTCCGTCTCATCCAGGGACTGGCTAACCTAACTAGGCTAAACTTTCGCTGTACACAGATTACTTCGTACACTCTTACACTCAATACCTGCCTATAATGATCTGACTAATCTGTTGTTCAGACCCTGCTCTTGGGAATTAGGCTAGTTACGCATACGTTTAGGGTTTTTATAGGGGAAAGTATATTTGTTAAGTCCTCTTTCGGTCATTGATCGATTCACCTCTATGATATTCTACTTTCATAATAAAATTATAACACTAGAAAATAATAAATATAATTTGCAGAACTCTATTGACCAGCACCAACTACCAGTGGAACTTAACCACTCAAAGGAAAACAATCCTCTAAGAGTAAAATAAGTATCCAAGTGTGAAATTAAGCTATCCAAGTTACTTAGTTACCCATTCAAACCTCACACACAACTATGTTTACCTGCTAGTATAGATGCGGTCGGCCATGCGATTGGGCCATCTGAACAGTACAAGCATCAATTTTAACTGTTATAAAACAAATTTTGTGTAGCTTTTGTAGCCACTCAGAAGAGATAATAAGAGTACCAGTGTGTCAGCATGTTAATATTTTAGTCCTACACTTTTCTATAGGCTATATTAGCGCCGCGACATGTGGTCGCACTAATTACTAGCTGTAGTAGTCTTCAATGCAACCAGTTCTACGTTTCGTCGCTAGAGAACACTACAATTTAAATGACAAAAACTAACAAACAACGACTTATTTGGTAATTTGTTTCTGGAACGCTATAAAAGTTTTCATCATAAGGTTTTTAATATAAAATTAATTGACCATTAGTGAGTAAATACGTAAATGATAACTTAAGTTCCGAATCATACTTCGGGCAATCACACATTTTAAATGCAATGGAAACGAGTAAGTTTTGCATGTTCCGCCCTCTTGGCCTAAATAAATAACGTGAAAATATGTCACCTGGTCACCTGGACCTTTGAACCTTTCTAATGCAATATGCTCGTGACAGTACCTAACTGTATTTAACTTTCTCGTATTACAAACAAACTGTGGATGATTGTACCTACTGCACATGCCCGATGTAGCGGTGTAATGATCATGGTAATCATCAACGTGTTCGAAGAGCTGGAAGTGGCGAAAGGCTCCCGTATATGTCGGTGATGACTATAAGCAAAGCGACGTCGCAGGCTCGTACCGCGCGCACTTACCACCACAGGGCCGCACTCTGTGCTGTGCAGCCCATGTCACAAGATCTGTTGGTATAGGTGTACGTACAGGCATAGATGCTTATGTACTTCTTGATATATTATGTATATACCTTACCTTTATTAAAAGAATGCAGATACGTTCTCAATAGATTCTATCGCATCGGTAAACTAAAGACACATACGTAAGGAATATGTTAAAATTGTAGACAATGACATACCATGACATGTCTTAGGAATATTGCTGAGCATTGTAGCAGCTTTGCATGGCAAACGCAAGGAATATGTATTTAATGTGTAAGCCAGTACCCTACTCAGACATCGCTTTTCATTTGTAGCCACTCATTATTGTAACACGTGTAACATAAGTTTAAATTTTGGTTTGTTTACGGAGAGGGGTGTACCGATTGCTACCCTGTGGAGCATCCGTGGTGCAGGTCGGCGCCTGGCACGGGCCGCGCCCGCCTCACACAGTGTTGCAGCGACCAGACGCGCGCCTTCACATCGCTTCATTTTCGGGATGTTTTAATGTAAATACGGTTCCTTTGTCAGTGAATGCAATTACTGTTAATACGTGAGAATGTGCATGGTTTCTAAAGCGCTCTATTTTATCTAAGGGTAATGTATGGATTAAAAGCGTAGTCGTTAGACATTGCCCGCCGGCTTTCGTAATCCCTGTAAGTTAGTGAGATGTGATGCACGTAGTGAACGACACTAGAACTTAAAATGAATGGCAGTAGATCCGACGCGTCCACCTCCACTGACGACTTGAAGGTGAGCCACTTTTGTATTGTATGCAGTCATTTCATGTGAAAAATCTAATGCGGAAAGTCAGACGGGCCGCTGCGTGGCGACCACAGATTAGTATAATGTGGCGACGCGTTGCTATGGCATGCGTAACATGTAATGCGGTGTGGCAATTTAATCAATGTATGTACAATAATTTCGATGTTTCACATCTGCCTGACGTCCCGCGATTTTGAATAAACCTTTATAACTTTGCACAATATTTTGAAGAAAAGAGAAACTACTAGTACCTATGTGTGCTTTTTGTGTATGAGAAATTTGTAAGTTTACTGAACTAACTGTATTATCGCTTTATAGCAGGAACACCCAACTACTCCAAAATATTTTATATGATTAAAATTTACGAAATTTATCTTACCGAAAGTCATAAATATGATTTGTTTATTCGCCGATTTTTATACTTTAGAAGAATCAAATGCTCGATGGGTTCTCAGTACGAAAAACGATTTTCCGACTTTTGAATCAATTGCTTAAATTAAGATTCTAATTCTCATTTAGTAAGTATAATATTCAGTAACACATGCGAGTATGTATTCAAAATCTATAAGTAACGTTTGATGTAATTTAAAAACGTCTACTTTACTACTGCTGCTGTGTTTTTTTTTGTGTTTTCTTCTCCTTATACCTGCGTCGCGTATCATCTACTATTATTGAATTCTTTAGGTTAAGTTAGACCAGTGGCGATTTGGCCCGAGCCCTCGACTACATGTCGGACCACCTCAGGGGGGTGTTGGACGCTAGCCTGGCGTCCGGACGCTACCCTGAGCGCTGGAAATGCGGGAAGCTGGTCCTGCTGCAGAAGCCGGGACGGCCTGCCGAATCGGTCGCGGCCTATAGGCCTATCGTGTTGCTGGACGAGGCGGGTAAACTTTTTGAGAGGGTGCTCTCTGCCCGTATCGTCCGGCACCTTTGCGAGGTTGGCCCCGATCTGTCGGACTCCCAATTCGGTTTCCGAGCGGGGCGTTCGACGATCGATGCCGTAATGCGCCTTAGGGCCGTGACCGAGGAGGCCGTGAGCTGCGGCGGAGTGGTCCTTGGACATCGCCAACGCCTTCAATAGTCTGCCATTCAGCTGCATCAGGGAAGCGCTCCGCTACCACGGAGTGCCAGAGTACCTGAGGCGGCTGGTGGCAGATTATCTTGAGGAGCGAACCGTCATGTACGAGGACCGAAATGGCGTCTTGAGACGCAGGGCCATGTCGTGCGGTGTTCCGCAGGGGTCTGTCCTAGGACCTCTCCTGTGGAACATCGGGTACGACGGGGCCCTACGAGGGCGTCTCCCCCCCGGGCTGGGTGTAATCTGCTACGCGGATGACACCTTACTCACGGCCCGGGGGGCTAACTTCTAGGAGGCGGCGCGCCTGGCCGCCACGGGAGTTTCCCAGGTGGTCGGGCGCATTGAGGCGTTGGGATTACGGGTGGCCCTGGATAAGACGGAGGCCCTATTATTTCATGGGCCCCGTCGTGGTCCACCCGCCGGCGCCTCAATCGAGGTCGGCTCGGTCCTCGTACCGGTCCGGGCCCAGATGAGGTACCTGGGTCTGGTCCTAGACGGTAGGTGGCTCTTCGACGAGCACTTCCGACAGCTTGGTCCGAAGCTGGTGGACACTGCCTCCGCCCTAGGGCGACTTTTGCCCAATTTGGGCGGGGCCAGTGTTCCCACGAGGCGGCTGTACGCGGGGGTTGTGGTGCGCTTTATGGTGCACCGGTGTGGGTGGCGGCTCTGACCGCCCCGAATAGGGCGCAAAAAGACCAGTGGCGATTGACGCCAGATATTCTCTATTACTGGTGAATCACTTGGGTTAGGTTAGGTTAGAACTGTGACAATTATAGCGCCAGATCCGCTCTATTGTTGGTGACTGGTGAATTTTAGACGTTTCGAATTATCATTAAGTCGGACTTTTTGTTACCTATTCGATCCATGGAAACTCGGTATTTTGAGCTTGGTATTTCATCATCATCATCATCAACAGCCTTTACTAGTCCACTGCTAGACATAGGCCTCTCCTTAGAAAGGAGGTTTTGGCCTACTATACCACGCTGACCAGACGGGTTGATATAGGGTTTGTTTCAAGTTTTCCTTCTCTTTGCAATGCTGTTGTCCTGCATAGTTTACTCCTTTAGTCGACTCTTACGACACCCATATGATGAATAGGGGTGGTGACACTCTGTATTCTTAATCCGTCACCACACAGTAATTATAAACGTGAAATCAATATGATCTGGTCTGCGTGTTTCAGAACCGGCCACTGTGTCTGTTTTACTTCACGCATCCGTTTGGCGTTCTATCCCCGGAGCCACCCACGCTGGCGACGGCGCCGCCACACATCGCTCGCGCCTTCGTCAACATGGAGCCAGTGTCACCGTTCACCATGTGGGGCACGGCAAGCGACGACTCTTACAACACGTCCTACAACACCGCCACTAGTTCATCGCGTCCGGAGTATGAGCTCGGCAACACCACGGTGCACGCGGCGCCCGTCGATCTCGTGAGGGTCGCTCGTGCGCGCAAATGTACGCTAGATTTCGGCGCGCGTCGCGAATCTTTGTCCTCATCGTTGTTCTCCAACGACGTTTGGTTCAACTCTAGCTCGAGCGGTAAGAGCACTGATTATCCGCGCCGTCTGATTCCATATAACAAGATCCTACCACCGTTGCAGCTGCCCAGCCCTCGGGACTCCTCTAACATAGACAGCCCGGACGATCTTTGGCCAAAAAAAACTTTGAATCCAGAAAAGTTTTCGCTTCCCCCGATCGAACTGCCTTCAGTAAAAGTTAAAATAGTGCGAAGTAAAAAGTGCGTACGGAGCAGCCTCGCAGACGACTTGTGGGGCAACGATGGCGGCGCGGCGCGAGAGGAGCGCGTGCGCCGGCGCCTCGGCGTCAGCAAGCCGCGGCGTGCCGCCCGACCTGCCGACCTGCGCCGTCTGCTCGCCACGCTGATGCGCCGAGCACTTGCAGGTAACACAACTTCCGTCTATATTGAACTGTACAAACTGATATTGTGTGTTATGGACTTTTTTTGCATTGGTTAGAATTCAGTGTATACACGTGATTACTTGGCGGAGAAAACTTCTTTTTCTTTGTAATCAAACGGTACGATCGATATTCGAAAAAACAAAATGCAAACTGTTCGGGGTACGCGGTCGCCTCTCGAGAACTTTATTGGAAGGTACAGCTAGTTACTTATAAAAGTGGTATCCATTGGGAATACAAGGATAAATACGACTATAAAGACAAATCAAACCACAAAAGTGGTTTTCAAATAAAATAGATCTTGAAAAGTCATAATGAGGGGCGAGCTCCTTACGTTCTGATGGCAGTAGCGCTACTGATAGTATCCATTCTGTATAATATAGGTGGTCGGTTTTCTTTCAGATAAATATTTAGTAATCAGTTAATTCTTACCAATTAATCAATATCCGGCAATCCTTTCTTATAATTTCTATGAATTCAATAAAGTATATTGTAATACAGTTGTCTATTCTCAGTAAAACTCTATTTTATCTCTGACAGTGTCACTTGAAACGTCATAATGTGGTGGCGCGCCGAGGGCGTTTCAACTCGAAATGTCCCTGTTATACTACTAAACATGTAAAAGACAAACCAGTGACTAATAGCAGCCGCGGATAGGCCCCCATAGTCACAGCGGGATGGGATACCTAGACAAATGTCCCACTGTACACGGCTGCTGCTGGTACGTGGGACTGCGCAGAGGTGTGATTCTGATCGCGTTGGTGGGTATGGGCATTGGCGCATTGTATTTAGTCGCGTACTCTAGGGCAGGCGCACGGCTACTCGTCTCGTTGGGAGCCCCTCGAGCCGTCAAAAGTTTGTCCACCCGCTACGTGCACGGCGTGTTGGGCGTGTTGATATTGGTGACGCACGCGCTGCTCCTGTCTGCCGGCTACTGCAGGAACAGGACTCTGTGCGAGTTGTACTCGTGGTCGACAATAGTAGTGTGCGTGGGTGTGCTCGCCGTTAACTTGTTCGTGGTGGTGAGCTCGTTTCGATCAGACCTCGTCACATACGGGCTCGCATTTATGACGGTGGCGTTGTGCTTAATGCTGTGGTCCGTGTACTCTGTCGTTATTGTGATCAACTTCTGGAAAACGTTGCCTGGGATCCGGTTGCAGTCATAATTATCAACTTTCTACTTTATAGTAAGTGCACAGTATCTAGATGTGTACCGTGTGCTATGTATCTATGTACATACAATTACGTTCTTAAAATAAACAAATTAGTATTTGTCGTTGTAAACTACTCTTGGTATTAAATACAAACGTACCGACTCCAATCAAGTCTGTTCGATAAATTGCCATGTTGTGAGTGAAGTACAGTAGGTCTGATGCTAATTTAAGGTCTTCACTCTCTCAACGACCCAGCACCCGCCAATACCAGCTTGGTCTCATGCTCTCGAGATTTATTAAATCAAAGTTTCATAAACATTTTTCTTTTACTTCACTCACTTACCAACTCCGTAAGTAACCTCCCTGGACATCCCCAAACGCTAGCAGTTCTTAAGATGGTGCGCGGGCGGCGAGCGAGCAAGACAATGGCCCGATTGTGACTATCCGGTTTTCGCCGGTCTTGAGTAACTGCTCAAAGTTTACTCGCAACTAGCTCGCTGCACATTGCCTGCACCTTATAAATTTTTCTTGTCCTACTCCTCCTCCTATGGTGTGTGATGAATCTTTATCAAAAGTAGTCCGCGAACGAAGTGTTTCACGATTACTCACTCAATAATTCTACCCGTTGACCACGGATCCAGTCGCGAGGCGGCCGACATCATCACGAGACAATTCGATGTACGAATCGGTGCTGGCCGTTTGCCTATTTATTAAGTAAGAGACAACCTTCTACTCTTTGACACACGCGTATCAATTTGGAAGCAGTAGACGACGTATCCTGATTTCTGTATATTTCATATTGTTTATATGAAATGAAATCATGATGAATTGATATTTATTTCTGCAAGTAAATATTTTCAGATATTTTTATAAGTCGGACTTTACAGCTAGAAGGCGCCGGCATTTCCTAACACTTACTCTGAGAAGAAACACCGAAACAAACCACAGCGGTGTCTTTTTTTAAGTCCGTGTACAATATTAAAAAGAAATATGTGAGTACAGTGTAGGGGTTTGGGTTGGTCTTGTAAGAAATGAATATAGTTTTTAAACAGCCCGTCCATACAGACGCCGTACTGGCCCCAGCCATCGTGTAGCCTAACCGATATAGCATGGATCAACAACCCGAAACACGACACTACCGCCACCGGGACACTTGAGTAGGCCGTGGAAACACTCAAAACCACCAGAAATTTACTAAAATATGAACTAACATTACAAGCCTACACTATACTCACATTTACATACTTACACAATAAAAAACTATACAATTTAATTCAATAAAATAAAACAAATTGAAAACAAACGAAACACCATTACAACAAACAAACAACAAAGCAACATCAATCCCAAGCAAATTTACCGCGCAATAAACATTTTCACACAGTTTTTGTTTTACTAAGGACTTAAATTTGTTACTTATTTGACTTAATTCATGAAATTTTTCTTGACATTTTATTGCAGAATCGTATACCCTGACATCGAAAATATTTGGTTACTTTTTGTAGTCTAGTCGTTGGCAACACGAGTTTATCTTTATTTCTAGTGTCAATATTATGAATGTCGCTAAACTTTGAGTTTTTTTTTTAATATACTCTAAATTTTCATATTATTGTGATGCGACTGTCATAAGACCAGCGAGTATAATATAGTATATTATTAATAGTATATAACCAATAGTACTTGTCGAGCGTCTGACACTCTAGTGAGTTTGCAGCTGATCTAGTAAAATTTTCCTTAAATTTTTACTGAAAGTAACACTGAAATAGGTCTATAATTTGTAGGATCAAACGTGCTACCCGCCGCATAAATTAACGGACGTTTTCAATGGATAAGGATAACTGTACAATAATACTTTTATATCAAAAAAATCAGACACAGTGATCTCCGAAGCATCCTTTCGCGGTGATCACCTGCGTCAACCGGTATGAGAGGGTTCCGTGATGCATCTCGAGCCAATCCTCCATAACGGGTCTTACCGCCGCGATAATGGTGTGCCCAGCGCACGGTTACCCAAATCGTTCCTTCCACTCCTCCACGAGGATCTGGCGGAGTTGGGATTTCTGATCCTCGATTTCGCGAGACTCAGGACGCGCCACTGATACAGAGCCGCAAGGGCTCTCGCCTCCAGGTCCCACGGTGGAGATCCGGCCAGGAGACTTGCCGCCTCAAACTCAAACTCTCTTTCATAAAAAAAAAATGAAATCGTCTTTTATGTAGACTAAAGTCATAGATCAACACACACAAAAGCAACAATCTCTCTTTTGTCAAATAGTAAGCAAATAAAAACAAAAATCAAACCCATACAAAATCTATTATATGCCTTTTTTTTTTTTTTTTTTTAATGTGTGGAAATCCCCTCGGACCGGGTATCCCCTCGAAACTAATGCGGGTGGAGGGGAAACCCACCCCGTCCACCCGCGGCCACACTCAGGGCGGCATGAGGCGGTGATAGGCGCGCCTCCGCCGCCCGGTTCGCCGGCGGCGGATCGGGTCCGAGTGGTCGTCCTCCCGGGCCTTCTCCGCGCCTCCTTCTGCGAGATTACTTCCTCGCAGAAGGTTGCGACCGCGGTAAAACAACTGTCGCTACCGGCCATGGAGCGTATTACGGCCGGTAGCGAGAGATCCACTCCGATGACTGCAGTGAGGGCCCGGCGCTGCGTCGCCCATGCGGGGCAGACCGCCAGCGTGTGCTGGGCCGAGTCCTCACTGCAGTCGCAGTGGTGGCAGGCGGGACTCAGTTCCCTCCTAGCGACCGAGTGCAGGTACTTTCCGAAGCAACCGTGCCCGGAAAGCACCTGCGTCAGCCGGAAGGTAAGGGTCCCGTGCTGCCGCCCTGCCCACTCGGCGATGACCGGCTGGAGAGCCTCCACGGCGGCGAAGCCAGCGCGTGGAGTCTCCAGCCGGAATGACCAACGAGCCATCGTGGCTCGGCGAGCGGCTTCGCGCCACTCGCGCACGTCTTCGGGCGGAGGGCGAAATCCGCTCTCCGCCCGGGAGTCAGCCACTCGCCGATAAACCTCGGCGAGCACTTCCGCCTCCAAATCCCACGGGGGAGTTCCGGCCAACGCGCACGCCACCTCCGTCGAAACGGTGCGGTAACCGCGTATGGCTCTGACCGCCATTACCCTCTGAGTGATCTATTATATGCCTGTGCCGATCTACAGCCGCCCGTTTTCAAGGGGTTAAGCCTTATGAGAAGAAAGGGCAAACAAACTCATGGCCACTTTTTTTGCAATTCACAGATATATTATACCAGATAGTGAGGTCTATGGTCTCTATTAGGTGTATAAAAATCAAGGTCGTGAGTCGACACGATAAAAAGATATGGGCAAATTTCGATTTTCGCCTCGTAAGACCTTGCTTTTAACTAGACTTGCAACGAATAGTATATTCGGCAGTATACCGAATACCGAATATTCGGCGAGGCCCCTGACCGAATAGCCGAATATTAGGCAAAAGTATTCGGCTGGATTTTAGCGCCAAAAACTTGTACAGACGTGAATTAAATTATGTACCTGTTTTATGTACCAATGACTACTTAATAAATGATTATAAAAGAAATAAGAACCTTACCCTTCTAAATTTTGATTACCACAATAATTCAAATACATAAAATCCTATATTTTTCCAATTCAGAAGATGATTATGTACCTGTGTTATGCACCAATGACTACTTAAATGATTATAACAGAAATGAAAATATGAATATATACGTAATCAATCGATTTTAATTTTTCATTTTACCAATTATTTCTCAATGACAAAATATATTATTTAAGTATTCGGTATTCGGCCGAATAATATGTAGATATTCGGTATTCGGCCGAATATAATAAAAGCAGCCGAATAGGCCGTGTTCAGGCGCCCAATGGTAAACGCACCGCAATACATCTAGCAATTAAACGTTGCCTGTCATCTGTGTCACCAATATAGTCGGTAGCTTTAAGTTTGATTTAAAATGTTCACTTGCACTACGACTCTGGAGCTTTTTACAAGGCAGTACACGCTCAATCCATATATTTGCTGTTTTATTTCCGGAATCCGTGCTAATTCTTTACATGGTCCTTACCGAAGCCGGATTTATCTACAGTTATTAAGGATTAGCAGTTATTCCCGGCAGTCAGGACATATTGAAGCTTTTTGGAAATTTTCAAGAAACGAGAAATATTAACGGCCACTGGATTGGGTATATTTAACAACGGTGTTAAGTTTATTTCTTCTGATATCGTCACCCAACACTCAATCAGGTATTATTTAATCTAAATTAAGGATATTAAAAGGTTAGTGTATAAGTTTTATACTTTCTTTTTCATTAGGTACCAACTACGTAGTAAAAAAGAAAAAAAAAGTCAGATTGATTTTGTGCGTTTCGTTTATTAAAAGGAACTTACAGTATTCATACTTATAATAGTATAGTAGACAGTTAGGGCTACATATTTTATTGTAATTTGCCATTATTTCATCTAAATTAATTTATATTGTATTTTTGTATAAAACAATTATTAAGCAATACTTACAGTATCTATGCTTAAAATAGCATAGTAGACAATTAGTGCTACATATTTTATTGTAATTTTATCTAAAATAACTACTGAGACCCAAATTTTATTAATTATACATATAGACGTAGGTAGGCAAATACTTGGTACAATATTGAGTGTTAGATATTTGTAAAACTTGTTAATTCAACTGTGTTAGTGTACAATTAGGCAATTGCTTTGTAATTAAATATAGTTAAGTTAAGTTTATTCTTATATAAATTCCAGATCGACGACACTCGCTTCCCAGTATGTGCGATGAACAGGAATTAGTGAAAAAGCGAGGGAGTTTTAAGGGTCGCTTAACCATTTTTATTAAACATCTTGATGGATTAAGCGGCAAAAAATTAAGCAGTTGTGACATCACAGAGTTACAGCTACGCTCAGGGAAGATCGAGTCGTTGTACGAACAATACGATGAGGTACAGTTACGTCTGGAATGTATTACTGATGATGTTACTATTCAGTTAACCG